ACTGTTTTGTCCATTCCAAACTCCACTGCAATATCTTGGCTGTACCTATGGACAGTGTTGACCAGTGATTCTCTTTTAGATGGTATTTTTCCATGCAGCTTTAGATCATTGATATAAAATAAGTGGGATAGCCTGGCAGATGTTTTTGATGTCTGATAGCCATGGCCTGAATTGTTCAGTATTATTGACAGAGGAATCTGTGCAATAACAAACAATAATGGTGGTAGCAAATCTCCATGAAAGTTTCCTCTCTTGATATGAACACTTTCCCAGTGTATCACCATTGACCAGCAACTGCATTTTCCATTGTGCTAATGATCTTTGCACAAAGCTTTTCTAGGTATCTGATTATCCTATTATGTGGCAGGGAGTCAAATACTTTCTTGTAATCAATCCAAGCTACATTCAAGTTGGTTTTCCTTCCCTTGCAGTTTTCAAAATCATCTTGTTAGTTGGAGCTGATTATTTGTTCCTCTGCTGTTTGGGCAGTTTTCTTTCTGTTCAAGAAAGAACCAATATCAGGTACCACATTAGTTAACAATTTGAAGGTTCTTGGTAAACAGGTAAATGGTCTGTAGTTGCCTGGTTCTGTTCCTTTTGCTGGATCTTTCATTATCAGGTAGATTTTATCAGATGTTAACTATTCTTCAATTTCCCCTCCTAGCAGTATGTGGTTGGCAATGAATGGGTCTAGACCAGTCAGATGTTTCAACCAAAACCATGCAGTTCATCTTCACCTGGTGCTGACTAATTTTTTTATCTTCCCTGCCCTTTTCTCCACCATTTCTGCTGTTATTATAAGTTCTTTCATTTTGGCTTCTTTTTTTATTCTTATTATTATTGACCTTATAGTCACAAAGAGAACCATGTTATGATTGTTCCAAGTACATGATTAAGAAGATGCAAACCCAGTTACAGCTGCCAAATTTTGGTTTATATTTAATAAAAAGCCCTTTGTTTTAAATTATCTGTGTTGTCTTCCAGACCATTTATTCTGAATGACCTCAAATGACTTTGTCCTTCAATTTAACATGTCAAGTAATCGTGTGTCTGTAACTAGGTATTGCAAAGCAATGATTGTGCAATGTGACTGTTGAACTGCACACTTTGAGATTGGCTAGCTCTGGAAATAAATCTGGTGTCTGTACAGCTTGTGCTTATGTAATGTTATAGGACACTAAACAAGTCAGAAACTCTAAAAAAATACCTGCAGATTAAAAAAATAAAAAACTGAATAAACAATACATACAAGAAAAATATCTAAATCACGTGTCATTAAGATATAACTGGGATACAAACATACTCAAAGAATAATTTGCCATAAGGTACATAGAGTCACCTAAAGTAAACTTGCTCTTTAATGACCCCACAGATGGTGACCTTATTGTACTTTTCTGTTTGACCTAGAATGTTAGCTTCCTATAAAGTCTCTTTCAGTTTTTCATCCAGCAGAGATGGGAGAATAGAACACTGTGATCTTGAAAAGAGATTTATTTGAGAGTTATATTAATGTGAATCGTGAAGCATGCAAATTCACCCACTCGTATGACATTAATTTTTCTGAATGTGAAATATTGAGATAATGGCACAAAAAACAACATATATCTTTGAATGGATCAACAATATAACTTTTTTTTTTGAAAAAGTTTTTTTTTCCATTTGTACATCATACAAAATACAATTTTGGAATAAAATAAATTCATAACCATTGGTACCGCCTGCCCATTCCCCCCAGGCCGCGTCCACCCTCTCTAAAACCTTCCCTACTTCCCTCCTCTTTCTCTCCTCCCCTCCTACTCTCTTCCCCTCCCCTTCTCCTCTTGCCATCCTACTTCCTCCCTACACCTTCTTCTCCTCTTATCCCTCTCAAACATATGAACGCAGCATAGGGGAAATGCCCAGGCCGCACCTTTCTTATAAACTACCATATATATATGATTTTTTCTCTTTCTTTTTCTTTTTTCTTTTTCTTTTATTGTCAACTTGTTAATAACCCTGTATTCTGCTCTGGGAAGTGAGGGGAGGGGGGTTGGGGGTGGGTGGGTGGAAGAGTGGATGGGTAAGGAACAATATAACTTTTGATCTAAAATTTGTTGAATGAACCAAATTTCTGGGTGGTCAAATAAAATTTCAGAGCTTGCAGTAGCAATTAACAAATTGAATGCAAGAAGAGATATCAAGGATGAGGGTGAAACCTAAATATATGTAATTACAGAAATAATGTAGACTACTGTTAATTTTAGAATAAAAGTTGGATGTATTTTTACTTATCTCTGTACCAAAGAGAATTGAAAGCCATTCATTTTTTTCCTTTCCTTTTTCTTATCACATCCACATCTTGCTTTCTGGTTGATTTTTCTTTCTTTTCAACTTTCTTTTTTGTTTACTTTTTATTCGTGTTTTTTTTAAATTTAATAAACATGTATTAAAAAAGAGAAATTGGAATTGAATGGAATTGGCAAGAGCAGTGTTATTTCAGAGAGAATTTTATTGGAATGAAATAGAAAATCTCTTATTTAGTGCCGTGATCCTGATTGGATTTAAAAAGAGATTGCTATGCATTCATTACTAAACTTTTGAGAAAAAATTGAATGTTTGAACATGGCTATCACATCAAGCTTGCATCACAGAGAGTCTCCATGAATTATATCTTATGCTGGAAAAAAATGCAGTCCAGTGTTTAACTGAGACAACTTGAGGGGTTACATTTGGCCTTTGAGATGCCTTGTCAGGTCCCTTGATTGAAAAGATAGGAAGAACTGGGTCAAAGGAATAGACAGATCTGGGACTTTACAAAAATAGTGATATTAAATTAATATTGTGTTAACTCTCTCCATGCATTTAAAGAGTCCCCCCTTCTATCACATTAAAAATGCAATAGCAATTTCAACAAGTTTTGAGAAAACATACCCAAAGCTTGGGGTAGGCCATATATACCTCCTTTTGCTGCCCGACACAAACATTGATTTTCAGCTATATATGGGAAGCTTTGACATTTATTGATGTGTCTTAAACTGTACTTTCATCCTGTGATAAGTTGTTTCATTTTCTTTTTTTCTTTTTCCAACCCAATAGCAATTTGTGTCACTTAATCCACACATGCAGTTTCTGCTATGGGATGTCAGTCTTCCATTTTTAAAGTCGTGATTTAAAATAATGTTGAATCCTTCTTACAACAGCCATAAATAGTGGATGCTGTGCCAAAAAGTAATCTTTCCAAAAAGCAGTGAGAACAGGATGGCAAAGCAAGTAATGTTTTAGTCGTAGTTATAAAAAAAAAAAGGATAATACAAAATAGGAGAGAAGTTAAAGCACTGAGTGGCAAAAGAACAAGGGAGAGAAGGCAGAGGGACATAAGGTAAGGCAAGGTAAAATAAGGTAATGTAAGGCAGCTACAAAGCCAGCAGCAACAGGAGAAGAATGCCAACAGGCATCCCAAATGTCATCTTTTTGTTTTCGATCTCTGGTTTACAAAAGATTGTTTTTGAGCAGGAGGAAAAAAAGCAAAGAAAAGCCCCATTAAACCTGGATGATTTTCTTTTTTAAAAAACAGCTTTTTGTGGGTAGTTGGCATTGTGGTGTCAAAAATGTATCATTCCATCATAAAACCCAAATACATATTTTGTAAGGAGGAGGAGGAGGAGGAGGAGAAGGAGAAAGAAAAGAAGGAGGAGGAGGAGGAGGAGAAAGAAAAGAAGGAGGAGGAGGAGGAGGAGGATTTCCATTTAATTGAACAATATGGATATATTGATAAGTTCACCAGGAAGCCAGCTGAACTGGGACACATTCTCTACTCTTCATTTATTACTTGTTTTGTTAACTATAACTGCTCTCTCTTTTGTTTACCTAGAGGTTGATGGCTTTTCTTGGTGCATAGTTGTCTGATTCTCTGCACATTTGGTTCAAAAGGTTTGCATGGACTGGTACACTTATAAGTCTTTTAAGTTGTTCTATTTGACTTTAAAACAATCAAAGCAGGAACTGTTGGGTTTATGTAATCCACACCAAAATACTTGTAATTGTGAGCATTAAAATATAATAAATATTAGAAAAAGCTGCTGGGTCCAACTTATTTCTGAAAGTACAATATAATAGTAATTCAGTTGGACTGTATAAGCTGTCCCTCATTAAGCTAAACCCAGTGTAGCAGAATCCTATTTTATGAGCCTGTGTGTCTTAACAGAATTTAACAATAAGACTAACATAAGTATCCTTTCAATTGGTATTCCATGCAAAGCATTGATTTTAGAACAGCAATCAAAATGGTAATCGGTCAAACTATTTACTTTCTGCATTAACATATTATGTTAAACTATGATTTGTTTTAACTATAATTTGTAAAATAAACTGCCATTGGGGCTCCAAGCCAGCTGGCAGAACCAGTTTTAAGCTCTTCCAGAAGATCAAAAGGGTGGGAGCGTGTTTCCCCAAAAATAAGCCTCACCCCTAAACTAAGACCTATCCTGATTTTTTTGGGGGGCTAATATAAGCCTTACCCCAGAAATAAGCCCTAGTTAGGACTCTGCACACTCTGTCCCACCTTGCTGCCATAATGGGGCAGGAGGCCACGCAGCACATTGCGCCACTGCCGCCACAATGAGGCAAGGCAGGTGGGGGAGGGGTGGAGCTGCCCAATGAGCCCACATCCACTTACTGGTACTTCAGCACTCCCCCCCACCAAGCCATTCCTTGATCGGCGACCTTTTACTCCCCTTCCAAGCCAGACTGCCATGCTATGATGGATGGGATGGGCAGGGTAGGCCTACTCCCCCTCCGCCATTTCGGAGCCGGTGGTGAGTGACGGCGAACAGTTGTCCTCTGCCAACTCTCCCATCGCTTCTGCCATGATCAGAGAGAGAGCACAAGCCTTCCTTTACCAGCTAAAAAAAAGTTCAGTCAGATCTTCCAACTTCTCCAAAATCTTTTTTTTTTCATGAGAAGTTGGAAGGTCTGACTGAACTTTTTTTAGTCCCACAAACTCCATTTCCCTGCAGCAGAAGAAAAATGCGCCAGAACTGGAAAACAGGTTAGCAAAGAAATGCTTTCGGGAAGGGGGAGGAGCTGTGCTGGGAGGAGAAGTGGCAGGAAATGGGACTGCAGTTTCCAGAAGGGAGAAGGGAGACACGAGACAATGCAGGCCACAAGCAAGTGCTGTTCTCTGCTCTGCATCCCTGCACAGAGCCACTGTGTTCTCTATTCTCTACGAGACAGGTGACAAAGGTGGAGGCAGGCAGCAGGGGAGGCTTGTGCTGCCTGGTCATGATGCAAGCCACAGGAGAGTTGGCAGAGGACAAGGAGGCAGTGGCTGTGCCCGAGCAGGTGATCTCCGGGGTGAAGCTTAAAGAAAGCCCTTCCAGAGGTGCATAGTGGCAGTGGAGCTGTTTGCTGTCACTCCCACCTGGCTCCAAAACAGTGAAGGGAGACCAAGCCAACCCTACCCATCCCATTCGCCATAGCATGGCAGTCCGGCTCAGGAGGGGAATGAAAGGTTGCCAGTCAAGAAATGGCCTGGCTGGGGGAGGGCTGAAGTACCGGTAAGTGGGTGCGGGGCACGTGGAGAAGCTCCACCCCTTCCCCCACCTGCTTTGTCTTGTTGTAGCAGTAGTGGCATGATGTGCTGCACAGTCTCCTGCCACAAGTGGCCGCAGAAGTGGGTCGGCAGCCACATGGGCTCCTGGATAGGGCTGTTGTCATGAGGCGAGGCAGGTGTCACAAAAAATATAAGACACCCCCAAAATTAAGTCTAATCCCTCTTTTGGAGGCAAAAGTAATATAAGACTAGGTCTTACTTTCAGGGAAATACGGTAGATCTCACCTCCAGTGGCAGATCTGTATAATACACCAAGTCACACAAATCACAATGGCTGGCTACAGAAGTAGCATAATAATTGAAACAAACTACAGTATGATTTAGAGTGCTAGGTGAACCAGTCATTTTGGTTGGACCTGTTAGAATATTAAAGATGGAGGCAAATCAGAAACATTCTGCAATCCTTAAAAAAAATCTAGGCAAAGTCATATAGTGAGACCATAAGCTAATAAATCTGACCTCTGTTCTATCAGTTTTACATTTTTTTATTTTGCAAGTATTCTCTGTGTTCAGTGCCATATTTAGAGAGATGTTTTTGCAGTTATTTCATAAAGCAAACTTCCCTATCTATAAATAATCTATTTTCCACTTTTTTCTTTTTCCACACATAAGCTCCAGAAACAAATCCCTCAGATGTTGTCTTCATTGTATTTGTTTGCCTTTGGTGACACTTGTCAAGACTGTGGGCTAGTTCAAAATCTGTCTGACATATCATCTCCATCCATTCAAGTTGCCTGATAGACATGCAAGCTCATATCTAGAAATAAAAAAGAATCCCAGGCTTTATGGCAGCACACACTGAGAAGCTAAGCACAGATAACATCAACATTACCTTTCAAGTCCCATGGAAGTTTAATTCTTAATATAAATGAGAACACACACATCTTACATGAGCAAACAATGATTACCTTGGAAACTGTTACACTCAGAAAGAACAAAAATAATAACTACATGAAAGTCATCCATCCTTTATCTCCATCATCTCACTGTATAATGGAGCTATGAGGTTTGTGGTGTTGTTTTTGCATCTGTGACTGAAAGAGCCTTTGATTTAAACTAGCACTGCTTCAAATCAGCTCTGCAGCAATTGCAAGTAATTATTGGCTGGGATGAACATACATCTTTTCTGAATTCTCTCTGGCATTATAGGAGATTTGAATATGATTCTCCTCACCAATTAGATCAGTGGTTCTCAAAGTTTGTGTGACGGCGACCCCCGTCACACAAACGTTCTGCGCATGCGCGGCACCGCGTGCATGGGGGCGCCACCCCATGCGTGGCGCGCGTGCGCGGCGGCGCCCCCATGCGTGGCGCGCATGCGCGGCAGCGCCCCTAAGGGGAGAAAATGGTGGATCGCCTTCTTTAGCGACCCCCGAAAAATGGTCTATCGACCCCAAATGGAGTCGTGACTCATAGGTTGAGAACCGCTGAATTAGATGAAGTCAGTCCAATATCAGTTCCAGTGAATGAAACAGTGTTCACAAGGTGATGGTAATTATGGATGAAATGTGTTCTTTCTGTTATGCATGAATTATTGTAAATATTGGAATAATGAAAATGCAGGTATCACTTTATCACTGTGGCAATATATTTTATTCCTCATTTTCTCATCTAGTAACATGAGATCGTATCTTCAAGTATGACTTTATAAGATGGCTGGAACATAGTGTCCTCCCTTTGTGTGGAAAAATTTAAGAATGGCATTCGCTGATCATTGGCCAGAGGCAGCCGTGTATTCTCCAAGGGCTTTTTGTGAGCCAGTGGCATGGATGACCACCCCTAGGTACTTAAAGTAGTTACCTGCTCTATTTTGTGGCTATTTAAATACCATGAGTACTGTTTTGGCCTTTTTATAAAAGCCATAACCTTTGTTTTCTCATAATTTATGTCCAGTTTATTATATTTGCAATACTGGACAAGGGCTCGCAAGGCTCTTTTAAGGCCAACTGGAGTCCTGGAGAGGATCACAGCATCATGTGCATAGAACAGCAGAGCAATGCTTTTGTCACCTATTTAAATAATTTGGATTATTTAACCATTTTACCATATCATTTATGTAAAAATTGAAGAGCAAGGGGTCCAAAATGAGCCCCTGTTTAACCCTCTTTTGAGTTTCAACTGACCTCGAGAGAGACCCTTGCATATTACACCTCACCTTGAGGGATGTTTTGGTATGTAAGGCATGTAATAGATGGAGGAGTCTGTGATCAATTGAAGCAGCTTCCAGCTTCTCCCATAGCTTAGTCCTTGTAACTGTGTCAAAAGCTGCCTTAAGATCTGTAAAGGCAGCGTATAATAATACAGGTCTATCTGATGCATATTTTTCAATCAAATGATGAAGAACTAAGCATTGATCTATGGTGCCTCTCCCCTCTCTAAACCCAGCTTGTTCTTCAGCAATCAGGTTCTCAAGATCCAGCCACTCCTTTAATTTATCTTGAAGATGTTTGGCATAGAGTTTGCTGATTATATTTAGCAGGCCTATTGGTCTGTAATTGGCAGGGTTGTCTCTCTTTCCCTTTTTTAAAATTGGGACCACAATTGCCAAGCCCCAATCCTCTGGGACATGGGTGGTGGAGTCAATATAGGTGATAGCACTGCCAGGATGGGTATCCACCACTCCATATTTTTTTTAATAATTTGGCCAAAATGAAGTCAGCTCCTGGAGCCTTCCTGATCCTGAGTTGGCCAATGAGGGATTTAATTTCAGACTCTGAAACTGGAGGCCACTCAGGTAACTCTTTCATTATAGACCTTGTACTCTCATTGGAGGGATCTTCATACATTCTCCGAAAATGAAATTCCCAGGTTATAGGAGATATATGACAGTCGAAAGGAGTATAGATTCTTTCAGAGTGGCAAGCTATTAGATGCCAAAATAAGGAGGAGTTCTTTTGCTTTGCTGCCACGATGAGCTGTTCCCAGGAAGACCTTGTGTCCTGTCTCTTCTTGAATGCAATCAATTGCTTGAATTGTTTTTTGAGTGTAAGTAACTGTTTAAGAATTGCTTTATTGCCATATCCAGTCTCGCTTTTGTACTTCTTGTATGCCAAGTTAAGAGCTTTCTTGGCTTCTACACAATCCTTATCAAACCATGGTTTGGAGGCAGTACAGGACCTCTTAACTGAGAAATTTCGGTCATGTGCTAATAATGATTGTAGCTCATAAATTAAATTTTTATATAGTTCTAATAAGTCTTGAGTCGGGTTGGCTGATGTAAAGGCTGCACGAATTTTTTGAAAATTATCCTCTGTTAGGGCTTTCCTTACCTTCTGATCAAGATGTTAGGTCCATTTGACCCAACATCTTGTTAAGCTTGCTGTAGAGATTGCAGGGATAAAATGGTTCTTGGAAGGTATCTGCCCGATAAAGGGCTTCATGTATATACACAGAGGTAGATGATCACTTTCTATATAATGTACTAAGTCTATAGAAGTTAAGATGTAGTGAGTGGTGCTAGTTTTGGACCCTGCCATAAATGTAAACTTGCCAGGATAACCAGGTCATGAGCAGTTAGATATGAAGAAGTTAAATTTATTTGCCAACTTGGCAAGACAGAGGTCAACATAGTTAACTTTAATGTCTTTAGAGAGTCGTATGAGGGGGGCATTGGTTTGTATAGGGACCTCTGATGGTGGGTATTGATGATGTTTCATGAATAATGTATAATCATCTGGTCCCAATCTGGCATTAAAGTCTCCCTCTAGTAGGACCCTGGCATTTGGGTGTTCCATGAGTTGTTTATTAACATAGTGTTCCAACTCAAGCCATATAGCAGTGGTTTCAGCTTTTTTTAACAAAGGAGGGAGATAAACATTAATTATCAAAAGCAGGACTGAGTCCAACTTGAGGAGAAGAGCCATAGCTGAATGGTTTAAGGGGTAATTAGTGTGGACTCTGCTCTCAAGTTGGTAGAAATAAATATACCCACACATCCTTTCAGTCTCCCTGGGCCTCTGCCTGGCCTTGCTTCCAGCTTATATGAATAATAGCCATTAAGCAGGAGATCATCAGCAGTCCAAGTCTCTTGCACCAATATAATATCCTTACCTTTCAGAGGATCAGAGTGATTAAGGCCTCTAAATCGATACCACCCGGCTACATTCCATGATATGATGTTTAAAGTGTTTAAAGTGTTTTTCTTGCACTGGCCTTCATATAGTCAGTTCAAGTTCTCCATAGGGGCACTTGTTGGAAGATAATAATAATTGTTATTTGATGCATTAGATTGAGTAGTTGTTGTCAATGCTTTTCTGACATGCCCTCAGCAGAATCAGTGACTGTGGGTAACTCAGTTTGTGGATCACTTCTCTGCTTTCTCAAGGTCGATTCAGCTGCCCCTGCTTCAAACTTATCAGTATGAGGTCTGTTGCCACTTGGAATTAAAGCAATAGTTCCCTCATGGAGAGACTGAACCAGGATTGGCCACAGGTTCCCTGAGCGGAAGACACATATTGGAAATATTGAAAAACTGCTCAGGAAGTGCTTCATTCTAAAAAGCACTGAGGGAATTATGGACTGCTTGAAGGATTAAAAAAATCATATACATTGCCTTCTTGCTGGCAACCACTCTGCATGTAATAAATCAATCTGAGTATATTTGCAGCTGGCTCAGAGACTGCCTAACCACTTTTCTATCACTCCAACATCCTCTATTCCTTCTGTTGTCGTAGATTTGCAAGGTAATCTGGTTGGTCTGTAAACTGAGGTTATAATGGTCGCCTCTAGAACTATCTGATTGAGTGTTGTTTAATTTGTGGATATTCTTTCCTCTCTCATTTATAGAAGGGAGAGAGGGGCCTATTCTAGTTTCCATTTCTGCATTAGCCATCCCATGTCTGTCATTATGTGTCATCCTGGGTCCTTCTGCAATGTTTGTTTGACTGCTGATAAACTTTGCAAAAGACTCTTTCAAGCAGTCAACCTTATTTGTGATAATTGATAAAAGTTTGTAGACTGAATTTACAGTTTGAACTATGAGCAAACATTGTCTGGAAAGGAGATCTGTTTCATTCTCCCTTACTAAGTTGGTTACTATCCCATCCTGTGCAGGAAAAGCGGGTGCTGAATTCCAGGGAGGGGAGCTATTTTCTGTGAGAGAAACAGAAAGTTCTATATGCTGTTAATAAGTTTGGTTTGTGAATCCCATTCCAATGAGTCACATACAGATGAGTTACTTACTGAAGCAGACTGTCTATTTGCAGCGAAATCTTCCATTTTCTGCTGCTTCAGTGGTTTGGAAGAACTCTGTGCTGCCGAGTGAACACGCTGTCTCTTTCTCCTTTTCCCCATTCTTGGTATATGTATATGTATTTTATAAAAAGTTTTTGACTATTATAAAAAGTTAAATAAGGGTTAAAATATTTAAAAATAGGTTAAAATGGGTTAAAATTGGTTTAAAATGGGTTAAAAGTAGGTTAAAATACAGTGTTAAAAAGGGTTAAAAAGTTAAAATAAAAATAAAATAAAATAAAGCTTTTACTTTTGAAGGAGCTCTTTACAGCCTTTGCTGCCTGTCCACCATCTTGGCTCCTCCCCTCGACAGCATCACATGAAAATTCAGGAATGTGGGGCCACATGTTGGAAGTACAAGGAGAAGAAAACCTATACAGAAAGTGAAGATGTCCAGAATAAAACCCACATTTTTCATAAAACCCATTTTTAAAAAATATAATTTCACTCATCTTACATTTTCTCAACTGAAATCTGCTAAGATTAATTTTATTTTACTTGCCAAAAATTAGAGCAACTAATTATGAGTGGGGACCACATCAGAAGTCTACATGCAGTCCCTGGAATGTGATTGGTATATCTGTGCTCCGTGTCGTGGATGGGGAACTTTTTTATTTTCTTTTAATGGGAAGCTGAAGGCAACAGGGATAACCAGTAAATGATATATCCAACGTGGGATTTTGAGTGCAGAAGAAATTGGAATGGCTTGCTTGCTTGCCTTATTTTTAGATATCTTAGACCTGAGAAAGAGTGATTTGGTGATTTTTTTTTTGATCTGGTCATTATTTTCTTCTAAAAAACACCAGAAAACAGCATAAACCCTTTGTTATTGCCTCCTTCCTTGGTTCAGTCATTCCCTCTCATGCCTAGGAAGGAGGCAATGGAAAAACACGTCTGAAAAACCTTGCCAAGAAAATTGCTCGGATTTGTCCAGCCAGTCTCCAAGAATCAGACATGCTCAAACTAACTTGGTGCCTAAGGAAGGATTTGAACTCACAATCTCCAAGTTTCTAGAGTAATGCCTTAATCACTATACCAAACTGGCTCCCTTGGGCTGACCCTGCCAGACCCTAGGGAAATATCTGGGTCCTAAGCCATGAAAGACTACAGATGATAATTGCCACTCTGAATTGTATTTGAAAGCCAATTTGTATATCAACTCTTCACACTTAAAACAGGATTATTATTTTCTTTTTAAAATATTGCTAGAAATGACTAAGAGCAGTTTTGAAAGATTTTGTAACATCTATGCATCATGTTTAAATATCATCAGATAAATCCTGTTTAAAAAAAAACCTTCCCCAGCACTATTTAGACAATTATTTTTCAAATCAATAATTCAGAGGCTTAAATAGAACTCGTCAGTTTTTTATGTTCCATACAGAACTTTGAAGAACTGAAGAGTCCAATTTTGGAATAATCAAGGTTGTCTTTTGAAAACGCGTGCAACATGGAAGTGTGAAAGCAAACATGACTCATTCAGTTTCAGAATTCTAAAGGGAAAAAATGAAGAGGAGGTGATGAAAATGGGGCAGATGAGATGATTATTACCTAAATGGTTGTGCATATCGTAATAAAATGTATAATATTGCAATGTTTATTTTGTCTCCTGAAGAATTTTTTTAAATGTCTTGGGAGCCTCCAACAGTTGGTGAGGGAGAACTAAGGTTTCCTACAGCTGGAATGCTGATTCTGTTAACAAAACAAGAATCACGTAGCATCAAGCCTAAGAATTACCAAGCAAGCCATGGAAAAGAGAGGGAAAAAAGTGTCAGATTTAAACTGCTCTTGGCATAAGAGGGAATTGCATTTTCATAGTGACAGAAGTGGCTTTCTCTAATATTCATTAAAGACTTTGTATCTATCAGAGAGTGCAGAGAAGAGCAACAAAGATGATTAGGGGACTGGAGGCTAAAACATATAAGGAACGGTTGCTGGAATTGGGTATGTCTAGTTTAACGAAGAGAAGGACGAGGGGGGGATATGATAGTTGTGTTCCAGTATCTCAAGTTCTGCCACAAAGAAGAGGGAGTCAAGCTATTTTCCAAAGTGCCTGAAGGCAGGACAAGAAGCAACGGGTGGAAACTAACCAAAGAGAGAAGCAACCTAGAACTAAGGAGAAACTTCCTGACCGTTAGAACAATTAACCAGTGGAACAACCTGCCTCCAGAAGCAGTAAATGCTCCAACACTTGAAGTTTTTAAGAAGAGCCTGGACAGCCATTTGTCCAAAATGGTGTAGGGTTTCCTGCCTGAGCAGGGGGTTGGACTAGATGACCTCCAAGGTCCCTTCCAACTTTACTACTACTACTACTACTACTACTACTACTACTACTACTACTATTATTATTATTATTATTATTATTATTATTATTATTATTATTATTAAATGTCTGGGTAGCTTCTTCCTAGTTTGAGAATGTGAGTTGCCTTGCTTATATTTCCTATCTTCACCATGGCTTCTAATTAGAAGATCTAAATGTGAATAATTTCTGTGCCAGAACCAAATGGCAGCACCCTCACAAAAATGGTTTTCACTTGTCCTTCTTTGAAGCCAGATATATTGAATATTGTTTTAACCAAAAAATACACCTAAATCAAGAATCAAGATTTTCTGATAAGCAGAACTATCTAACTTGGAAGACAGCAAGCTAGATATCGTGTCAGCAAAAGCTAGATAGCAGCTACAGTTTTTTAGGTGAAATTACTGACTTGCTGTCTTCTAGAATTGTTATGAGCATAGCTGCAGAGAACACCAGGCCTCTGTTCAGAGACTCTCATATCTTTTTTCTTGGGTATCTTGAGATATTCTTTATAGATCCAGGGTGAACATACCAATTAGGACACATTCCAATACTATAATCTTCCTGAGTAGGGTATCTCCTAGAGCAGCGGTTCTCAACCTGTGGGTCGCAACCCCATTTGGGGTCAAACGACCATTTCACGGGGGTCGCCAAACAACGCAGTCCGCCATATTTTTTTCCCCTTTTCCTTAGCTGTGCTACTCCCTCTTATTCTATTGGCTTTTGAAAGCCAATAGAATAGACTCTATTCAAGAGACTCTATTCTATTGGCGTTCAAAAGCCAATAGAATAGACTCTCTTGAATAGAGTCTAATTCTATTGGCTTTCAAAAGCCAATAGGAATTGTCCAGGCTGTCTCTGCCCTGCTGAGCCCGCCAAAAGTCCCAGTCTGCAAACGGTGCTGCAAGTTGTCTGCAGCTAAGGCGAGCTTTCTGGATGTTTCCACCCCTCCCTGCTGAGTAACTACTAAATGTAAGTAAAAGAGGGCCAGGGGTGGGAGGTGGGAGGCTGGCAGGCGCAGGGAGGGTTGCTGGTGCACGTGGGGCCCGGCGGGTGGCTTACCTCCCTTGGGCTAGGCCAGCTGGTGGCCCAGCCAGTGGTCGCCCTGTGCCCTTGCTGCCGCGTGCCATGGCCGCCCAGGAGCACCTGGGCCTGCCTGCCGCTGCACCAAATGTTCGATGGCTAAGGTAAGGCTAGCGGGGCAGCGGCGGGTGCAGGAAGGCTTGCTGGCATGTATGGGGCCCGGCGGGTGCCTTACCTCCCTTGGGCTGGGCCAGCTGGTGGCCCAACCAGTGGTCAGCCTGAGCCGTTGCTGCCACTTGCTAGCTATGCCTCGGCCAGTGCAGGGAGCGGCACCACGCATGCGTGGCACTCCCGGGCCAAGGTGGTTGCTGGGCGATGGCCCGCGTGCAGCCGCAGGAGAGGAGGCAGAGCGTGCGCGCCTCCTCCTGCCCCGCCCGCAGGGAAAAACAGGTAGTCCTCGACTTACGACCACTGTCCTAGAGGGTATTCTTAGGTATGCTACCAGGATCCTCCACTTTCCCTAGTCTCTCTCCAACTTACTTCTTCCTAGGGGCAGCAATGAAACTTTCCTCCTTTTCTGAGATCTCATATAATTCTAAATTGGTCCTATCAGAAACATGATGACATTCCTCTTGGGATAAACCAAAATTGTTCTCTGATGAGTAGCTATAGATATCTAAAGTCTAACCAGTTGTTTGAGGGGGCTTTAGGACTAAGAGTCAGAGCTAATCATGAGAAGGTTTATATTTTTCTCAGGTTTCACTATAAGCAGTTTCACTATGATATTTGGGTAAGTGACAGTCTTGCTCTCCTAATTAGTACTGTTTTATTCTATCCCCATAACAGTAAAAATTGTCACTGAATTGGATGTTTGTTTGGTAAACGATCTCATTAGCCAGTTTGGTGTAAAGGCACCATGCTAGAAACCAGGAGATAGTGACTTCTAATCCCACCTTAGACACAAAGTCAGCTTGGTGATCTGCACAAATCATACTTTTTGCTCTGGGAAGGACAAACTCTTCTGCAAATCTTATCAAGACAATTGCAGGGAAGAGTCCAGGCAATCACCTGGAGACTGACTTGAAGGCATCCACACAACCCCTCCATTATCTTTAATGATTAAAGGAATTCTATGGATTATTTATTTATTTATAATTCAACACATACAAGAGGCTATCATGGTCGGTGAAGGCTATCATAGTAAATATTTTACCATTGAATTAATAGAAAATGCTCAGTATGCCAATGTAAACTGCTTAAAATGGATATAATTTTTTTATGCTTATCATATCATGTTTGTCTCAAAACTGCTCTCAGTGCCATAGCAACTAAGAATGTTACTTCTCCGGTGTCATTTTTTTTAGAATGAGGGAGGCATGGTAGGTTGGGAGAAGAAGCCATAGAGCATCATTTGCTTTTCATAGCCAATGTGCCAAATTTCTTGCTGCAATTATACTATTTTTATTTTTAGACCCAGTCTCTTGGGGGTTTTTTCTTTCTTACACGTTATGTAAATTGATACATAATTAATATTATATCAATGTTTCCCAACTCTAAAAATACAAATGAGTTTTCATATCACTAATTTAGTAAAGGTGCTTTAAAAGGGGCATGGATGAATAGGAGTTAGGGAGAGAAAGGGAAGGAGAGAGAGAGGGAGAGGGAGATAGAGAGAAAGAGAGCCAGCAAGAAGTAAAGTAATGAGCTGACTAACATTTATTTTCTCAGACCTAGTTATAAAATCTTCCTTTCTGACCTGCTCCTTATTTAAGTTTCATAGAGCATACATCTCAGCAACTTCTTTTGAGATGAAACATTTATAAAGCTAATTAAGATTTAATGATGCGCTGGTATGAATCAGCATTTAAATGAGCTGGTATCTAATTCCAGATCAATTACTGAATAACCAATCTATTTGTGATAAAGTCTTGTGCTCCAAAGATTATAATATATTGTTAATTTTATAGGAAACTGAGAATGGAAATGGAAAGAACGGAGTTGATAAACAGATAGGGAAAACGCTCTATGGTTTTATGCTGACAAGGTA